GCTGCAGCGCAGCCTGCGGGCGACGCGACAGCGGCTAGCGGCGGGAGAGCCTCTCCAGTGCGGGCTGGGGGCGGCGGCGGCACTCTGCGGGTGGCGGGCGAGCTGCTGGCTGGCCGGCGGCGCGTCTCGACTCAAATTATGGGCCGCCTCTCGGGCGTGCGGCCAGGGGCCCGTGTGGCGCGAGGAGAGGGCGGCGCGCTCGGCGCGCTGGCGGCGGTGAAGCCTCTCAGAGTGGGCGCTGGCTGGCCGAGGGCGTCGGGCGGGTGTGGGGCGGCACTCGGGCCGCCGGACGGGCCGTGGTGGCCCGTGTGGCGTTCGTGAGGGACTGTTTGGGCGCCCCGGCAGCCTCCCGGCCGGCGTGACCAGGGCCGGTTTGGCAGCGGTTTGGGCTGTGTGTGGGCTGGTCGCGGTACGGGATATAGTGCTTGTTTATGGTCCCACTCACCACTCCCGGCCAACGGGGCCTCGCGGGGCGTCCTCGTTTGCAGTAAAAGGCCTCTGCCATCGCTCAGAGTCCCAAACCATGTGATCCTCCGCGCCGCCGCGCCCGAGTAGTCTGCCAGATGCGACGTCGTCGGGGAGGGCGTCGTCGCGGGCGCCAACGTCGTCATGCGAGCCCCTACGGCTGTCCAAGGGCACGTCTGGGTGACCAGGGGCGGGGGTCGAGCCGTGAGTGCTCCGCCGGGGCGAGCTTCTGGGTCCATGGCACCGCTGCCGGACCCATCCGAGAGCCTCTCCGGACACGTTCGCTCGACGGCCTAGTTGGCGGCCGATATTCGACGACTAAAGCTCCGGACGCCGCGGCCAAAGGTCCGCCCACGGCCCCAGGGCTCGTGGTGGGTGTGGGGTGTGCCTCACGAGGCGGAGAGGCCGCGTGAACTCCCGTAGAAGCTCGCGAAGTGCGGATTTGGAGCGCCGCGCCGGACCTCCGCCGGGGCCCGCCGGGGCGCCGTATGGGCCTCGGGGTGCCCGATAAGCTTAGAGGTGCGGGTTTTTTTGCTTGTGTCTATCGGTTCATGTCATGGACCGGCCCTGGGAAGCCTTTGACCGCGCGCGGAGGGTGTTACGGGGCCGTGATGATTTAGCGGGAGGGAAATCGGCCGATTTGCCCAGTGTGTGTTCACGCGCGCGCGAGACCTGAGCCTGTCCGGGATGAAGAATTAGATGTAGATGCGGCGCCTGCGGCGGTGTACCCGCCTCTGTTGTTCGGGCAGTGAGAGACGCAGGATCTGCACGCCAAAGTGAAGAAGAGCGCGGGCTCTCTCGGCTACGGGACCGGCCCCAGCTTCGGCTGAGGGCTAACAAGCTGCCGAGCCCAAATCACTGTGAGAGTCGTGATTTCTTGTTGGTCTTTAAAAATCTCTCTCTCCCAAAGTGCGGCCACTCCGTGATGAAGAAGCCAAGCCGGAGCACTGGGAGACGCATTTATTCATTCAGAGACGCACCTTCAGTAGTTCAGTTGCTTCTGACAGTGACTGTCACAGCGTTCAGTCGTTCTCGACGGTCCGTGCGAGACTAGTATTTAAGAATTCTTTTCAAGGGAGACAAAAAAAAACTGCTCTGCTTTCGGCGCGGCTTCCACCCAGCGGGTGAGACCGACCGCAAACTGCCGGACAGCCCCTCCCACCCGCAGCTCCCTTCTTTCTAGCGGCCCTGTCGTAGCGGTCCTCGCACCCGCAACGCCCTAAGAAAACATGGTCCCGCTCTCCCCCGTCGTGATAGGCGCTCGGCCAGTGTTGCGGAGCAGCCCTGGCCGAGCTGCGCAGCGAGAACATACACGCACACATTATGGACGACAAGCCACTGCTCGATGACCTCGTCAATCTGATTCGGTTGGACGAGGAGTCGATCCTCGACTCGCTCCGCGCCCGCTTCGACCGGGACCTGCCATACACGCTCTGCGGCCAGATTTGCGTGAGCGTCAACCCGTTCAAGTGGCTGCCGCTCTACACGGACGAAAGGGTCAAGGAGTACGCGGCAGCGGACAACCCCTTCTCGGAGCTGCCGCCCCACCTGTACGCCATCGCCCACGCCGCGCACCGGCGCCTCGTCGCCGCGCTCGAGGCCGGCACGCCGCCGTCGCAGTCGGTGCTCGTCTCCGGCGAGTCGGGAGCAGGTGAGCCGGCGTACAAGGGAGGGTGGCAGACAAGGGAGGGTGGGAGAGAGGAGTGGGGAGCCGGCCTGGAGGGAGGGAGGGGCGAGAAGAAGAAGCAAGAGCGAGGGCGGGAGAGAGAGGGGGGGAGGGAGGGAGGGAGGGAGGGAGAGAGAGAGCAACCAATGCGGCGCCGCTTCCTCCGCCTCGAGCCGCCGCCCGCTCTCTCTCTGCAGGCAAGACCGAGGCCACAAAGATCATGCTGCGCTACCTCGCCGCGGTCAACTCGGTCCACACACTCCCCTCCCCTCCCTGCCTCGCTCCCTCCCCCCCCCCCTCCCCTCCCCCTCCCCCTCCTCCCCTGCCTGCCAGCCCGAGGCGAGCCAGCAGCAGCCAGCAGCAGCCCGCGAGCACCCAAACCATCCTAGCCGCAGCCATCCTCCCACAGGCCACGCACCCAGTGCTCCTCGCCCCCCCTTGCCGCAGGTCCACACAACCTCCTTCTCGACGCGCATGTTCGGCGCCGCCGCAGCCGCCCCAGCCGACGGGACCCTCTCCGGCAGCGCGCACCGCTGCCCGCCCCTACGAGGCGGGACATGTCGAGGACGCGTCCCAAGCCTGTGTCTGGCGTAGGTCTGGCCGAGCGCAGGCTGCGGCGACCCGCATGAGCCTCCGCTGAGCCTGCTCGGGAGCCTCTCCTGTAGGCCTCACCGAGCGCGTCCTCCGCTCGTCCCCCGTCCTCGAGTCGTTTGGAAACGCGCAGGCGAGAGCCGCAAGCCAGCTTGCCCGGCCCACGCCTCCTCCCCCGCCGCCTCCCGCCGCCTCCCGCCGCCCCGGGCGGCACGTCCTTGGCCCTTCCGACCACACACGCCCTCGCGGCCCCCGCCCCCGCCCGCCCTCCACCCCGCCACCCCGCCCGCCAGACGCTCCGCAACCACAACTCGTCTCGCTTCGGCAAGTTCCTCAAGCTCATGTACGGCTCGGACGGCGAGCAAGAGAGCGCCGCCATCTCGTCCTACCTGCTCGAGCGGTCGCGCGTGGTGAGGCCGCCGGCGGGCGAGGCGAACTACCACGTCCTCTACCAGTTCGCGGGCGGCTGCGAGCCCGAGGCGCCGCCAGAGGGTCGCGGCCCAGCCCGAAGAGGACACGTCCGAGACATGTCCTCAGGAGGACACGTCCGAGACATGTCCCGCGCCCGGCTCGTCAGGCGCGCGAGGCGCTCGAGGTGCTGTCGACAGAGGCGTACGGCTCCGCGCTGCCGGCGGGGTCGGGGCGGATGAAGGAGGGGGACGGGCTCCACCGGCCAGAGGCGTGGAAGGAGACAGTGGCGGCGCTCGAGGCGCGAGAGTGCCCAAGAGAGCCCGAGAGTACCCGAAGAGGGCCCGAGAGTGCCCGAGGAGACGGCGGCGCGAGAGTTCCCGAGAGGCGAGGCGGGAACGCTGCCCGCGCAACCTCCGCGTCGCGTCCACTCCTCGGCCAGCACTGTTCGGCCAGCACTCTCGGCCAGGTGGTTGGCTTCGGGCCGGAGGAGGTCCAGACGCTGCGGCGGATGCTGTCTGCGGTGCTGCACCTCACCTCGCTCGCCTTCGACGAGGCGACGGGAGGAGGGCGGGGCGGCGGGCGGCGGGCGGGACACGTCCGGGACACGTCCGCGGCACGGCCTCGATAGGCGGAGGACTCGCACGGGCAGCGGGCGGCGGCTGTGCGCGACACTGCGGCGAGCGGGCGAGCGGCGCGGTGCCTGCAGGTGCCGCAGACTGCGCTCGAGGAGGGCCTCACCTCCCGCACCACGTCCGTCGGCTCTAGATGCGGGGATGCGGACCCTTGCACTCCAGCTGGCCCTCGAGAAGAGACGGGCTGGGCCGCACTCCACCGGCTTCCCGCCACCGGGGTGGTAGTCTTCGGCAGCCCTTTGTCTCCCGACTGCACTGCGCGACATGTGTGTTCACGCCCCGAGCCCCGCCATTGCAGGATCGTCGGCGGCGAGACGCTCGTCAAGGCACTCGACGCAGTGCAAGCCGCCGACGCGGCCGACGCCCTCGCCAAGGCGGTCTACGGCCGCATGTTCGAGTCGATCGTCGCGCGGATCAACCAGCTGGTGCGAGCGGGGCGGGCGGCGAAGGGAGCGCCGCGGTGGCCCGTCCGTGACGCGTCCCCGCCCCACCCCGCAGGTTGGCGGCAAGGAGGGGGAGCTGCCCTTCATCGGCATCCTCGACATCTTTGGCTTCGAGGCCTTCGAGACAAACTCCTTCGAGCAGCTCTGCATCAACTTCGCAAACGAGATGCTGCAGGCGCAGTTCAACGCCGACACCTTCCGCTTCCAGCAGGTCGAGCCGCCAGGCGGCGGCCGTCTCGAGGACACGTCCATGACACGTCCACGCCGTGCCCCGCAGGCCGAGTACGAGGCGGAGGGCGTGCCGTGGCAGCACATCGAGTACGAGGACAACACGGCGATCATCGAGCTGCTCGCGGCGCGTCGGGTGGGCGCCTTTGCGCTGCTCGACGAGGAGTGCCGCCTGCAGACCGGCACGGCCGGCCAGGGAGGAGGCTCGCTGTGTGGAGCGCCTCTTCACGCCCCCCGCTGTGGACAGGGACGGCCGACTCCTTCATCGAGAAGCTCGCGCGGTCGCGGCCCGCCGGCGACGAGCTCTTCTCTGTCCCAAAGCTGAAGCGCGCCAAGGGCGGCGCCGAGTTCAGCATCAAGCACTACGCCGGCCTAGTGACGTACGAGACCTCCCTCTTCATCGTCAAGAACACGGACCCGCTGCTGCCGGAGCTGAGCGAGCTGATGGGCAACTCCGAGTGAGTAGTAGCAGTCAGCAGCCTTGGTTAGCTTGATGTAGCGACCCGAGGGGCAACTCCGAGTGCGACATGCCGAGATGAGTCGCAAGATCCGCCGAGATTCGCTGAGGTCCGCCGAGATCCGCCGCGACTGTCTCTCAGGTGCGCGCCGCTCGCCGCGCTGTTCCCGCCCGACGCGAAGAAGGAGAGCGGCGCGAAGAGCCGCGCGCTCTTCTCGACGACGGCGCGCCGCCCCGCTCCCCCTCCTTCCCCACCCCTCTCGCCGCCGGCCTCGCTGACGGCCTCTCTGACCGCCCCTCGCCCCTCCCCGGGCCGCAGGTTGGCACACGCTTCAAGGAGCAGCTCGGCTCGCTGATGAGCGCAATCCAGGCGACGCACGTCCACTACGTCCGCTGCGTCAAGCCGAACCCGAAGAGCGTCTCCGCAGAGTTCGACAATGCACTCGTCGCCGAGCAGCTGCGCTGCGCGGGCGCGCTCGACGCGCCCCCGCCTACCGCCGGTGCCCACGCCGCACGCCAGCCCTGACGTCCTCGTGCCGCAGGCATGCTCGAGGCGATCCGCATCTCGCGCGCGGCGTACCCGCACCGCCTGCCCTGCGGCGCCTTCCTGCAGCTCTTTGGCGGGCTCGCCGGCGCGGCGGCCGCCAAGGGCGCCACCCCCGTCGACAGGGCGGGCTCGTCCAGGACACGTCCAAGATATGTCCGAGACATGTCCCGTAGGAGCCACCCCCGTCGACAGGGCGGGCTCGGCGGCGGCGGCGCTGCTCCCCGACGGCGGCTACTGCGTTGGGAAGACAAAGGTCTTTCTGCGGCCAGGCGTCATGCCCAGGCTCGAGGCGCGGCGCACCGTGCGGCGCGCGATGGCCGTCATCGCGCTGCAGACAGCCTTCCGCGGCCAGCGCGCGCGAAAGGCGCATAAGGCCACGCTGCGCGCGACCGCCGCCGTGCAGATGGCGGTGCGCCGCTGGATTGCGCGGCGGCGGGCGCGGATCCGCTGGGCGGCAGTGTTGTGCGTGCAGCGCTTCTGCCGCGGCCGCCTCGCCCGCCTGCGCACGAAGACGCTCCGGCGGGACCGCGGCGTCGTGCTCGTCCAGAGCGTGCAGCGGGGCCGCGCCGCTCGACGCCACTTCGAGCGGCAGCGCGGCGCGGCGGTGACGATACAGGCGGTAGCGCGGCGCAAGCGCGCCTCGCGGGTGGTGAAGAAGGCGGTAGAGAAGGCGCGTGTCAAGCGTTCGTACGAGGGGCAGATAGCAGAGGCGCGCGAGCGGCTGCGCGCCGAGGCGGAGGAGAAGGCGTCTGTCGAGGCGGAGAAGGCGCGGGGCCGAGACACCCTCTCCCTTGCTCGCCCGCCACGCCCTCGCCACGCCGTGTGCGTGAACGCGTCTTTCGCGCCTCCCCCAGGCGCGACTCGAGTCGGAGCGCGCGCAGCTCGAGGGCAAGGCGAGCAACCTCGAGGAGGCGCTCAAGGCGCAAAAGACGGAGCACGCAAAGGAGCTCTCGCAGCTGCTCGACGGGCAGGAGAAGGAGCTCATTACGTTGCGAGAGCAGGCGCTGACTCTCCCCGAGCCGCTTCAGAGACACATCCTCTGCGACACGTCCGATCGGACGCTCTCTGAAACCGGCTCGCACCGCACGTCGCAAGCCGTGCGACTGCCTATCGCTCGCCGCCGCCACCCCAGCTTCCCCCCTCCTCTCACGGCTGCCTCTCCCCCCCCCCCCTCTCCCCTCTCCCCTCTGCAGCTCGACGCGACCAAGGCGGCGCTCGCCGCTGAGGGAGAGCGGCGCGGCGCCGAGGAGAGGAGGGCGGAGGGGCTCGCGCTGCAGCTCAACATGGAGCGCGCGTCCCACCAAAAGACAGGGCGCGCGCTCGAGGAAGAGCGCGCCGCCGCCGCGAGCGCGCGGAAGCAGCTCTCGGCGGCGCAGCAGCAGCCGCGCGACGGCCCCAGCGCCGACGTTGGTCGGGCGGAGGTGAGCAAGGAGGCGGCGCGGCAGTACGAGGAGAAGCTGGAGGCGCTGCAGGCGGACGTGTCCTGACCTCTCGGGTAATCTCGGGTAATCTCGGGTAATCTCGGGTACTTCTGCAGGCGGACGTGTCCACGGCGCAGGCGCGGGAGACGCAGGCCAAGTCGAAGCTCGCCCACGCGACGGCGGAGCGGCAAAAGGACAAGGCGAAGCTCGACCGCACCCTCGACTCGCTGCGGATGAAGTCCGCCGAGTGGGAGTCGGAGCGGGCGGAGCACCGGCGGCTAGCGGAGCACCTGCAGGCGCCACACGACACCACACACAGACACGACACACGCGCGCTTCCACATCCTCCCTTCCTTCTTGATACGCCAGGGCGAGGTGCTCAAGCGCGACCAGTGGCTAAAGAAGGCGAAGGACATCATCACCGAGTACCAGAAGCGCACCCTCACCATGATGCAGCCCGGTCAGCCCGCCGTCGACCCCCCCTCCTCGCCCTACCGGAACCAGACGCCACGCCAGACGCCTCGGTGATGAGCTGCCCCTCTGCAGCTCGGCCGCGGGGAGCTTTGCTCTGCAGGGCGTTGGCTGGGCTATGGCGGCGCGAAAGGAGTGGATGGGGAGAGGGAGCCAGCTCTGTCCGGCGCGTGTGGGCAGGGGCCACCGTGATCCGGTGCGCTCTCGATCCCGCCTCTTGACGCGTGTGTCAGTCGAGAGATATCAGCGGCGGGGCGCTTATCGAGCTGTAGCTTTTGTGTGCCCGTGATGAATACAGCTTGGCCTGCACAAAGCTCGCACACGGGCGGGGACCTGTTCCTTTTTACCCATCGCCTATTTAGGTTCTTAAAACATTCGGAAATTCTTTTCTTTATATTGCCAGTCCCGTGGCCCAGTGAGCAGTGTCGTGCGACGACAGTGCGAGGGAGCTTTGTTCTTTATTTTACAGATTTTAACTATACTCTCGTGAGGCTGTGGAAGCACGCCCGATTATCTTACGTCTGTCCCACGTGCCCTGATAGAAGACCGACCAGCCCACACCGAACGAGCGACCGCTCGAGACTCTCTCTCTCTCACTCCCTCTCTCTCGGTCGTCGGTGAGAGCGAACGGATTTTTCTAAGTGATCAGGCTCCCTTTAATCTAAGCACTCTAATTAATATCACGGCGGTGGAAACGGCGGCGTCGGGCAGGCGGGCGGCGGGTCTGCGTCTGCTGGCGGACACAGGTACGGGTTGTCCGGGTCCTCGCCGCTAACGCACCCCGTCGAGTGGCACTTCGTGCCGCTCCAGCACGTCCGGGAGTAGTAGCCCATGCCACGCGAAGTGATGAGAGATGTGATGTCCGCTCGGGCAGTCGACGCAGCCAGCGCCGTCGCACAATTTGGGGAAGGCGCACTCAGGGAAGTAGTGTCCAGAGGAGCACGTCATCATTCCGTTGCAGTCCCACACGTTATAAGGGGGAGCCAGCGGCGGTGGCGGCAAGGGCTGCGGTGGCGGCGGCGGCGGTGGCGGCGGCGGCGGCGAGGGCGGCGGCGCGGGGATGCCGTCGCTGTCAGCGTCGGCGGCGCCCTCCTCTGCGTCGGGCTTGCCGTCGCCGTCCGAGTCGGGGTCGAGGTAGTCGGGGATGCCGTCGCCGTCCGTGTCCCCCGTGCCCTCGGCGCTGTCTGGGATGCCGTCGCCGTCCGAGTCGGGATCCCCCGCGTCAGGCAGGCCGTCGCTGTCTGTGTCGGCGGTGTTGGACTCCTTGGCGTCGGGGATGCCGTCGCTGTCAGCGTCGGCGGCGCCCTCCTCAGCGTCGTGGCGGGGAGAGGGAAGGGTGCTGGAAGGGTCTGGGAAGGGTCCGGAGGCTTCCGGAAGGAGTGAGCTCCGTCACCGGAGAGGAACTCGTCGCCGAGCGCGGCTCGCTCGTTGTTGGCGCCGCGCACCAGCGCGAGCAGCGACGCGCCGACCGACGGCTGCTCCGGCGCCGCGCCCTTCATGGCCACCGGAGAGGGAGACGAGAGAAGCGGATATTTCACAAGACTAGACGGTTTGGCCGGCGCCATGTGGCGCCGGGCCCCGCCCTCCAGGGCGTGGCGCGTCTAGTGCCAGCGACGCAAACGGCAAGTGTTTTGTACACGACAAGCGGTAAGTGCCACTCTATCGCCCCCTCTGCCATCGCCTGCGTCGTGAAGTGGCCCTCAGCAGGGTACTCGTCGACGCGGCCCTGACGCGGTGCAGAGGAGGAGAAGCTCTGGCCGATAATACCGTGTGGCAGAGAGCGAGCTTCCCCGCGAGCGGCGCTGAAACTGATGTCGAGGCGGTGCATGGGTCCTGCGACTCGGTCATAGACGTGATTGCCCCTGACGTCAATAGTCCAGCCGCCTTTCGCAAATGTGGCGCTAAAGTACCGCATTCGAATGGCCAGTCCGAAACAGTTCTTAGAGCCCCGCCTCCCAAACTTGAAAGGCTGCCTCCCGCAGAATCCGGTGATCGCCTGCCAGCCCCAGTTGTCCTCTCCTGGGCTTGTAAGCTCGCGAGCCCAGAAGGATGCGTTTACAAAAGCAGACTTCGACCCTTCCGATCGCGCCACGACGTGAGCTTCGGTGATAAAGGACCCGTTCACGACAAGTTGGTTGTTGACGCGAAGTCGTATCACTGTGGGTGGGGGGGGGGGGGGGGCTGGGTGTGCGGTTACTCGTGAGTAGTCACTGTTGCGATTTCGGGCCCGGCGTTTGAGCGCGGAGGCTCAGAGCCGGAGGATGGCTGGCTGAAAGGACTGTAAAGCGACCAGAGAGGCACGACGTCTAGGACATCGCGACAGACAAGACGCGCCGTCTAAGGGACGTCGACGGGACACGATTGTGGCACCGAGGGTGTGATACTGGAGTATCGACATTCATGGGGCACGGCGCAGGATGCGCCGTGCTAGTACACCGTGTGTGTAGCGTGTGGGAAGGGTAGGAAGCACAGGCGTCCGAATTCAGACGCCCGGGGTTGTGCGTTTATGTGAGTAACAAATAAATAAAACGGACATCCCAAGCTAGGGCTGGGTCGAGGACAGACACGTCCCCACCTTTGCAGGATTTTGCAAAAGCGAGGGGTCTCGCATCCAGGCAGACCGAATTCTTTTCTTCGGTAAACAGCCGACCTTCCCACACGGCCTTGCTGCCTAGACGCCACGCCAAGTCCTGCCCTGTCCGAGTTTCCACGGCTTTCCCGCTTCGCTGACCATGACCGTGTGGGAGGACCTGATGAACTGCATCTGCCAGAATGCGCCGCAGCGGCCGGGCGTCACCGAGGTGCTCGACTCGCTGCAGCAGCACACGGTCTGCACCGACACAGCGTGCTACGAGGGAGAGGAGGCGGCGTTCGGCGTGACGGCCGGACAGAGCGTTGCCCCCTCAAATCAAAACATGTTCTTCATGTTCATGACGTGCGCCCCCCCCCCCCCCCCGGCCTTCCCCCAAGCCTCCCGCGGAAAATAGGCGGGGGCGGTCCCCTTGCGCGCGCTGCATTGGGGAAGGGTGCGCGCGCGCGCCATTATATCAAGGGGGGGGGGGGGGGGGGGGCGGTTTGCGGGCGCAACTTTGCGTTCCGTTGCGATCTCCCGCACCCCCCCCTTCGGAGATTCAGAAAGAGAATTTCCAGTAAGCAGCTCTTACGAACATTGCCGAAGGACTCAGCAGAGGAGAAAGAAAAGAGGAGAACGGGCCGGGGGCCTACACAAGTGTCTGCGTAAGTGAGTGCAGAGTGGCGGTGAGTGGCGGGCAGTGTTGTGTTCACTAGCCCCGAGTAGAGGGGGCGTCCTACAGTTAAGGGGAAACCCGGTTCGCGCGCGGGGCCCCACCCTCGGAGACCCGTCCGTGTTTACTTTATTGCCCTTCTCCCTGCGAACGCGCACACCCCCCAGGGCTAGGGCTCTCTAGCCCGTAAGCGTAACCCGATGCCTCTATCATCCGGCCCGCTGGGTGCGCTTCTCACTCCCCGGCCCTGGGTGTGCGGTTACTCGTGAGTGTAGTCACTGTTGCGATTTCGGGCCCGGCGTTTGAGCGCGGAGGCTCAGAGCCGGAGGATGGCTGGCTGAAAGGACTGTAAAGTGACCAGAGAGGCACGACGTCTAGGACATCGCGACAGACAAGACGCGCCGTCTAAGGGACGTCGACGGGACACGATTGTGGCACCGAGGGTGTGATACTGGAGTATCGACATTCATGGGGCACGGCGCAGGATGCGCCGTGCTAGTACACCGTGTGTGTAGCGTGTGGGAAGGGTAGGAAGCACAGGCGTCCGAATTCAGACGCCCGGGGTTGTGCGTTTATGTGAGTAACAAATAAATAAAACGGACATCCCAAGCTAGGGCTGGGTCGAGGACAGACACGTCCCCACCTTTGCAGGATTTTGCAAAAGCGAGGGGTCTCGCATCCAGGCAGACCTTGGAGCACTTGGAGTGCAGTCATCAGCCTCACATCCAGGGCCGGGGAACTGAGAAGCGCACCCAGCGAGCCGGATGATCGGGATCGGGCTACGGGCTAGAGAGCCCTGACCCCTAGCTAGGGGGGTGCGCGTTCGCAGGGAGAGGGCCGTAAAGTAAACACAGGTCTCCGAGGGTTGGCTCCGTGTACCGGGTTTCCCCTTAACTTCAGAACGCCCCCTCTACTCGGAGCTAGTAGACACGCCACTGTACACCACGCACGTACACAGGTCCTCACTCAGCATCCCGTATCAGGGTTCCACCGCCCGCCCTCCCGGGGCTCCGATTCTCCCTGATTCGCTCTTTTATTCGCCAGCCGAGCGTCGTGTGACGGCCGCTGTAGCCGTTTCTGATGTCTCCTCTTTGGCCGAGGCCTCGCCTCCGCTTCACCTCCGACTGGTTCTGCCGCCTCCGAGAGCGTTGGCTGCCCTGCTGAAGTTTCCCCGGGCGAGGACGGCGGCATTGGATCGTGTCGCCTCCCCTCCCCGGGGGGTCGAGCCCGCTCTCCCTGGTCGACGAGTCGCGCCCGCACTCGCGGCCTCTCTATCGTCCTCGGCTCGCCCCCCCCCACCACCGGCTCCTCTTCAGGTCCGGGAAGGCGTGGCCCTCCCTGCCGAAGGTCGTGGTGACCCGGCTGCCACTGCGACGGGCCTTCCCCCGGTGAGCTCGTACGTCCCGACTCCACTCGCAGAGGTCGCGTCAGCTCATCTCTCGCCTCCTCCGACAGCTGACCCCAAGCCCCCCCTGGGGCCCTCCGGCCTCGGCCCTCCGGTTCGCCGGCGGGTCCGCTATCGTACCGCGGCAACTCCCCTCCTCCATCTCCTCCTCCCGGGTACACCAGCCTCCGGCGGGGCGGCCTCGGGTCCCCCAGGTCATTCCGAGCGGGTCCATACGGTGGCGGCCCCGTCGGCGGCGGGGGTGGAGGCGGTGGCAGGGGCGGCGGGTACGGTGGCGGCCCTCGCGGCCCAAACGCCTGGTGTGGAGCCGCTGGGGCGGCCCCACGACCCTGCAGCCGTTCCAGTGGCGGGGGCGGAAGTGGCAGTGCGGGTGGTGGAAACGATGGCGGCACTGGCGGCCGCACCGCCTGGTGTGGACCCTCAGGGGCGGCTCCTCGACCCAGCGGTCTCTCCAGCGGCGGGGGCGGAGGCGGTGGTGGTGGGGGCGGGCCTGGTGGCGGTGCCGGCCGCCGCAACTCCTGGGGTGGGGCCCCGGGGGATGCCCCCTGCCCCTGCGGCCGTTCCAGCCGTGGTTCCACGCGTCGGCCGTCCACCCCGCTCGTGGGGGGGGGCCTACTGTAGCTCTCGTCTCCCCTCGGGAGGGGGGGGGGCAGGGCCCGGATTCGCCGACGGCCCCGCTTCTCCCCCCTCCCGCTCCGCATCAGGCCGCAGACTGCGCAGTAGTCGCGTCGCCTCCCCCCTCGCTCGGTCCCTCTCAATTCGGTCCCACACTGACCGGATATCAAAGGCCGAGTTGTGTTCGGACAGCGGGCCCGCCGATGCCACACGCCTCTTCACACAGCAGGCGTACGCCTTCAGCGCCTGCCCCCCCGACAACGTCGGTCCCGGTGCAATGTCGTTGACGAGGTAGTCCTCCCCCTCCCACCGGAAAACCTGCCCAAGAAGGTCCGTCGAGCCAACCAGTCGTCTTGCCAGGCTCCGCACTTCCCGCGGCTGCACCGGCCTGAGAACGCCAGTGCTGACCGCGAGCGACAGACCTATCGCCCTAAGCTCCGCCAGGACCGCCTTCTCGCCCGCCGCCGCGGCCGCCCGATCCTTCTCGGCCTCCCGAGAATTGCCTCCTCCCCCGTCTCCTTGCTCTGTCTGCCGCCGGCACGAACCTCATCGGGCTGCCTCGTTCCCTTCCTGGCAAGATCCGCGTCGGGGCCGGCCGATCCACCGGTGCCGCCCCGGCTCGGGGCGCGCTCGCCTGTTGCGACGGCTGCCCCCCCCTCGCCGCCCCCCCGTATCCTTGTCTCCTCTTCTCACGGACACAAAGTGCGAATTCTTTTCTTCGGTAAACAGTCTAAGGGACGTCGACGTGACACGATTGTGGCACCGAGGGTGTGATGCTGGAGTATCGACATTCATGGGGCACGGCGCAGGATGCGCCGTGCTAGTACACCGTGTGTGTAGCGTGTGTGAAGGGTAGGAAGCACAGGCGTCCGAATTCAGACGCCCGGGGTTGTGCGTTTATGTGAGTAACAAATAAATAAAACGGACATCCCAAGCTAGGGCTGGGTCGAGGACAGACACGTCCCCACCTTTGCAGGATTTTGCAAAAGCGAAATAAATAAATAAATACAACGGACATCCCAAGCTAGGGCTGGGTCGAGGACAGACACGTCCCCACCTTTGCAGGATTTTGCAAAAGCGAGGGGGGAGGGCGCATCGCCGCGCGGAGAGGGCTGGGCACAGGGCACAGGGGATCTCTCTCGCATAGGATATGCACTCGGCGGCACGAGGGCAAGGCTGGGCGTCCTATTTGTGCTCCCCCCCGGACCCCTCGCTCTCGGGCACTAACCATCTGACCACTCATCGACGGGGCTTGGCGAGCGGCCGCGCTGCGGGGCAGGGCTGGTGAGGATGGGCTCTGGCCACTCGCCCGTGCGGTTGTAACCGCGCATCAGCCGAACGGAGGCCTCGACCGCCCCTCGCGGCAAGCTCTCAGAGAGAGAGAGACGGGGTAGGTGGACGGGCATATCTGTCTCTCTCTCTCTCTCTCTCTCTCGGGTCTCGCATCCAGAGAGTCCGAATTCTTTTCTTCGGTAAACAGCCGACCTTCCCACACGGCCTTGCTGCCTAGACGCCACGCCAAGTCCTGCCCTGTCCGAGTTTCCACGGCTTTCCCGCTTCGCTGACCATGACCGTGTGGGAGGACCTGATGAACTGCATCTGCCAGAATGCGCCGCAGCGGCCGGGCGTCACCGAGGTGCTCGACTCGCTGCAGCAGCACACGGTCTGCACCGACACAGCGTGCTACGAGGGAGAGGAGGCGGCGTTCGGCGTGACGGCCGGACAGAGCGTTGCCCCCTCAAATCAAAACATGTTCTTCATGTTCATGACGTGCGCCCCCCCCCCCCCCCCAAGCCTCCCGCCGCACATACGCGCGCGCCGTCCCCCTGCGCGCGCTGCATCGGGGAAGGGGCCGGGTGCGCGCGCGCGAGACGTGTGCGACGCGGCGCTCGCGCGGCCGGCGCGGGCCATCCATCCCGGCTCCCACCCGCCTCCCACCCCGTCGCCCCGCGCCCTCCCTCAGGTTTATGATGTTTGTCGCGATGATGCTGCGAATGCAGAGGCCATCGCCACAGCTGACATCAAAGGCGGGCAGCTCGAGCAGTCACGCCAACCAGCCGCCACCGGGCCCGCCGCCGCCGCCGCCCGCGCCCGAGGTGGACTGAGCGCGCTACGTACAGGGGTACAGGGGGGCGCTTGATTCGGGGAGGGGAGTTGTGTGGATGCAGATAGCGGGCAGGGCGCGGCTGGCGGGCGCGCGGCGCGCGACAGCCGCAGGGCGCTGCACTGCAGAGCCCGTATACTTTGGAGCTGTGGCGATGCGCAGTGCCGCCGGCACTGGGCGGGTGTGTGCGGGCGCACACGTCGCGTGCGTTCAGGACTTCTAGACCCTCGAGACTGACCACGGCGCGGTACACTGCCGTTTAGCAGTGGTTGCGCACACCACGGTGGAGCCGGAAACGGCGAGTTGTGTGTTTGATACATTACGATGAAATGCAGTAACGGTAAACAAAGACGGACGACTGGTCGCCGCGCACGACTCACAGACCTCGCGCCTCATATCCTTCGGCGGCCGGGCCGGCGCGGGCCTGGGCCCTGGCGGCTGGCGCGGGCGCCCCCCGCGCCCCGCCGCCCGGGCCCCCGCCGCCCGCACGCGTGCGGTGTGCCGCGCCGCGGTGCGGCGTGCGGGAGACGCGGTGCGTGTGGGACAGAGCCTGCGATGCTGGTTCGACGTTCGTGGTTGCGTTCGTGCTGCGCATGTCCAGTCGTGGGTCACACACGCCCCGCGGCGGCCTCAAGACCGCCAGTCGGCGGAGAGGTCGCGCCCGTCCGCGTCGTCCTCCCACCAAGTCGACTGCTTGTAGCCCGTCTGCGAGATGGCCGAGGCGGCCGTCGCATCGTCGACCTGCAGGCGTGGGGGGCGGGGCCGCTCAGACACCGCACAGTGCAGCGCGCTGCAGCATGGCGTGGACAGCGGCCGATGCAGTGCGAGCGCACTAGTGCCTCCAAGCGGACGCGGCGACTAGTGACTCCCCCCTTCTAGCCACCTTGAGCGCGCGCGTCAGCTCCGCCTTGAAGGCGCCCAGGGCGGGCCTCCGCTGCTGCACGCACACGCGGCGGTACGAGCCCTGGCCGCGGTCGAGCAGCGTCTGGTAGCCCTCGGGGTAGCAGCGGAAGAGGACGCCCTGGACACGGCGCAGGAGTCCGAGGAGGAGGCTGGGTGGCGGCCGCGGGATCGCGGGCGGGCGCCGAGGTCCGTGGCCGGCGGCGGGGGCGGGGTCGCGTGGTAGGGACGCGCTGCTCTTCTCTCGGGAGGGGGCTGAGCGGGAGCGGGGAGGGAGCGGAGACGGAGCGGGGAGGGAGCGGGGAGGGAGCGGGGAGGGAGCGGGGAGGGAGCGGGGAGGGGGCGGGGAGGGTGGCTCGCGCCTGGTACGAGAGCAGGAAGGGCGGCCGCGAGAGCGAGAGCGAGTACGAGCGCGGCCGCATGTAGTAGACGGGCTTGAGCCGCGACAGGAAGGCGTGGTGCGTCTCCTTGCTCGGGAAGCCGGGCAGGCCGAGGTCGCCGCGCAGCGTGTCGAGCCTGCGGAGCGGCGGCGCGCGGAGACCGGGTCGGGTCTCTCTCGCCGCGCATCTCGCTCCCCACTCGGCCGCATCTCGGCCGCGTCTCGGCCGGCGCGCTCGCTTGAGGTTGAAGGCGATGATTGGCGTCGAGTCGTCCAGCTCGGCCAGCTGCAGCGGGCGGGAGGCTGGCTCAAGGGGGAGGCGGGCGGAGAGGGCGGGGGGGGGGGGGGGGGGGGGGGGGTCCCCGCTAACCCAAACCCCCGGCACACGGGACCCCCCCTTTGCTCGGGGGACCCTTGGTCCCCTGGGGCGATCTTGGGTCGAATTTTACCCCCCGCGCTCGAAAAGGGCTCGGGGGGGGCTTGGCCTTTCGGATCGAGGGAAGCTCGGCGCACGAGACGCCGAGGACGATGTAGGCCGAGGCCCAGGGCGCGGCCTCGACAGCCGCGTCGGAGGACTTGACCAGCGAGGTCAGGAAGCCGAACGGCGACGGCTGCGCGTCGCCGCCCGAAAGGGCCCACAGCCGCACGCCCGGCGCCGGCTCCGCGTCGCCCAAATACTCGGTCGCGCGCACGCGCTCGGCGGCGTCGGGGAGAGTGATGGCGATCGACTGGTCGGGCGAGGCGTTGAGGACGCGGTTGAGCCGCTGCGCGTACTCAAGCACCAGCTGCAGGTTCGCCGAGAGCAGGTCGTATGCAGAGATCGCCGAGTCCTCCAGCTTTGAGAGCGGCACCGGCGGAAACTCAACCTCGAGCAGCCGGCTGCCATCGGCGAGCGCCTTCTCGGTCGCTGCCGCGGCCTGCTCAATGAGTGATAGGAAGCTCGTCGGCGGCAGCGTCTCGGTGCCCGCCGGCGCCTCAACCGGTGGCGCAGCGGGCCGAGGGCGATTCGCCTCTGGGTCGAGCGACGAGAGCGGCGGGGAGGCCTCGCCCGCCTGCATGCGAAGCGGAGCGGCCACGCGCACGATCCGAGCAGCGACGGCCGCCGGCGCGACAGTCCGAGCAGTCGTGGCGACCGCCGACGCGCTCGCGACGAGCATGAGCAAGCTCAACGCGAACATTGCTCGACAAGCGAGTGAGCCGATACTCGAGTACAAGAAACTCCGCAGGACACACGCACAAAAGAATTTTACCCGGCGCGCAGGCTTCTCGTTCGCTTGCTTGGGGGAGGAGGCCGGTTAGCGCTTGTGACTGGCAGGACATCGCAATCTAGCTCCGCGCAGGCCGGCTAGTTAAAAATTACTTTAGCGCTACTCGTAGCCTCCCTAGGAGAGCTTTCGTCTTTTCCGCGCGAGAGCACATACACCGGTCATGTAGAACTGTGCCCCGCAATCAGGCACCGGACATCCCACGCACGTACCATTCACATTTTCTCCCTACGCACGTACCACATTCTCTCCTCACTTCTTCTTCTTTCCCTTCTTGTCCTTCTTGCCGCCCTTCCCCTTCTTGCCTTTCTTGCCGCGCGTGGCCGCGTACCGGAGCCAAAAGCCCCGCCACATCCTCTGCACCTCGGTCGCTGCTCGAGAGCCAACCTCGAAGCGCTCGCGCTCCTCCTGCTCCCTTTCCTGCCGCTCGCGCTCCGCCTCTTCACGCGCCTTCTTCTCGGCCGCCTCCCTCTCGTACCGCTCAGTGTAGTCGTGCAGCTTGACCAGGTCCTCCGCCCGCCTCGCCTACGGACCCAAGCAGCGGCGTGGATCACATTTGATCCGCTTCCCCTCAAAACGTCACGTAGTGGAGGTCCAGCCAGCTCGCATCTGAAGAGTGCTAGCTCCGACTTTGTCTCCAGCTCGCCTTGAGGAGAAGCGGATCTACGACTTGAAGAAGAAGAACCAGGAGCTAGAGAAGTTCAAGTTTGTCCTCGACTACAAGATCAAGGAGCTCAAGAAGCAGATTGAGCCGCGCGAGGTCGAGGTCGTGGAGATGAAGGAGCAGATCAAGCAGATGGACGGAGAGCTTGAGCGCGCCCACAAGAACAGCTCGGCGCTCGAGCTCACCATCTCGGCGCAGAAGCTCAAGCTGGAGGGCATGCAGCGCGAGATCCGCGCGCAGCGCACCAAGATCGGTGAGTGCGAGAGCAGCTCCGACATGATGTGCAGGGAGCTGTACGACTGCGTGCAGCTGATCCAGGACCCGAAGGCCCTCAAGGCCGCGGTGAACCAGATGTACCAACGGCACGTGGCCACAGCCGTAGTCACGCACGCAGCCGACACGGAGGTCGCGTCCGAGCACGCGCGCCAGCGCGAGTGCCTCGAGAAATCGGTCGAGTCGCTCAAGCGCAAGCTGAACAAGAACATGGAGCTACACCGCGCCGACAACCAGCGCATGATGCAGGAGAACGTCGCCCTCATCAACGAGATCAACGAGCTGCGGAGGGAGATCAAGGCGCTGAAGGCGACCCAGGTTGCGAGTGGCCCCCGGCACAAGGGCGGCGTGGGTTCGGACCGAAGTTTCGGCAGTAGAGGCATGCGTGGGGGGCTGGAGGATGCCTTCCTGGATGCCGCCTCTTTCAGGTCGGACTCTCGTGAGGAGCTGCCCCCCTTGTGAACCTGCGTACTGTACGTGACTGTGGAGATGAAACTGCCGCGCTGCCTCTTTCACGTTTCACACTCTTTTCAGTATGTGAGTCACAACTGAGCGTGCGAGCACGCCGGATCGAATCGCGAACCGGATCTCTAATACTACTATCGGAGACGCGTGTGCGCAGCGTGCGGGCGGGGGGGCGCGCGCGCTGCAGCCTGCACACTCAGTGCAACAGCCTGCGCACAAGTGCCTGCACCGACCACCGTGTACGGTGTGGCGCGCTCCGCAGATCTCAGCTCTCCAGCACGCAGCAGCTCTCGCTCCGAGCAAATTGATTTCAAAATCTGCCGGCGCCTGTTAGAGAATGTGGAGAGACCAGTACCGGTGCCAGTAGTGGGCGGGGTTCTCAATTCTCATGAGCTTTTTCTCTAAATTTTGCGCACCGCAGCACGGCCACGGGCCTCTCCACTCACACGAGCCCAAACGACTTTTCCGATCCGCAGCGGGGTAGTTCACAACCCCGCGAGAAAATCCTTGGCGTCGGCAAGCGACGACGTTGCTGTCCGCGGGCGCTCCCCATGGGCGACCCTGAGTCAAGGGAGCGCGGTCCTCCCAAGCGAGAGAGCCAAACGCACGGGGCCTCCGCAGAGATGCGGCACGGGGCATGCTCCCCGCGGAGGCCCGCCTGGCGAGCGCCGCAGCCCGCCTCACGCGTCACTGTAGAAGAAGGGAGGCACCCCGTACCCGTTGTGCGCGTAGCGCGGCTGCTCGGCGTACCCGTACGTGCGCGAGCCGCCGCCGTAGCCCTGCCCCTGCCACCCGCCCCCGCCCTGCCGGCGGTGCCCGTACGCCCGTTCGGCGTCGGGGATGACTGCGGCGAGCGTCGGTCCTGCAGAAGGGTCATCGAGGTGTAGCCGAGACATGCAGTGGTGCAGAGATGCAGTGGTGCGCTCGCGCGCCGCGGGGGGCCGCCTCTCAGCTCCACCTCAGCTCTATCTCGGCTACATCTCGGCTCCATCTCGGCTACATCGCCGCCTCGAGCCGCGAATCTCGGCTAGGTCTCGGCTATTCGGCGCCGTCGATAGTCGGGTTCTGCTGATGCCGCACGCCAGGCATGCCGACTTGCGCGGGGCGGTACTGCACCGCCGACGGCCTCGCGCGGCGGCACTTTCGGCACGTGTCGCGCGTCGACCAGTTCTTCGTGGTGCAGCCGGCACAGTCCCAGTACGCGTCGCCTGCGGGCGGGGGGGAGTGCAGCGCGGCTCACTCTCGCGCGGGCCCGCCTCGGCCCGGCCACCCCTCTCCCCCGCGAGAGTCACCGACGGCGCCGCGCGTCTTCTCCTGCCGCTCCTGCCTCTCCTGCGGGCGGGGCGGGCTCGCGGGGGGTCTGGGGAGGGGTCTGGGGAGGGGTCTGGGGAGGGGTCTGGGGAGGGGTCTGGACAGAGCTCTGGAAAGGGCTCTGGCGAGGGGACTAGCTCGCGATGAAGAACGGCGACAACGAGCGTGTGGTGGAGGCGCGCCCGGTGCGGGTCCCGCCCCGGCCGTTGATGGACCCGCCGACGCCAGTGGCGCGTGGGGCGGGTCCCGGCGCCGACCAGGAGGACTTTGCGCTCCGGGAGTGGCTCAGGTGCTCCTTCGGGATTATGTGCATGAGTGATCGTGACCGCGAGGTGGTGAGGGAGGCGGTGCGGGAGCGGATCCGCCCGGTGGAGGAGGCGGGGAAGATGCTGGAATGGGACTGGGGGAGTGAGCAGCTCGCGGTTGCCGAGTCGTGCCTGCCAT